GGCTACATCAACCAGCCTAAGGAATTTCCGAAGGCTAGGATACAGCTCAGAGGTGTGTTCCTGATGCCATCTGTGGTCGGCCATTCCTCTCCGAAGTCTCTCATTCTGAGGTCGTGCAGAGTGGGGCATTCACACAAGATGTGTCGGACCGTCTCCTCGCTCCCTTTACAGAGGCGACAGAGAGGACTAATAGAAAGTTTAAGGTTATAAAGATGCTTGTTTACCTTACAGTGACCCGTGACGAGTCCCGTTACAGTTCGTAGAGCGTTCCTACCAAGCCTTACGAAAGACAAGGCTGCCTCTGCAGAAGGATAATGTAATACTTCCTTAGACAGATGGCAGCCTTTAACCATATCCCACCAGTTCATAAACTTTTTGTGGGTAAAATCTTTAATTATCTCAATCTGAGTTGATAAGGACGGAGCTATTATCGGTTCAGGCGAACATGGCGCTCGCTTGGCAGCCCTTTTGGCAAGCCTATCAGCGTGCTTGTTACCTGAACAAGTCGAGTGTCCTTTTATCCATTGAACTATAACACAGTTATGCACTGCGGCCTTCTCCAATGTCAGATGACAACCCATAACAAGTCCTGAAGTAATTGTTATTCTACTCAGGGCCAAAATGGCTTGTCTACTGTCAGTATAAATTGTAAAAGTCTTACCTACCAAGTTGGATCTGACAATAACGTCAGCGGCAAGTTGTATGACAAACCCCATGTCTTACCTATAGCCCTCCGGCATTGACCGAATGCAACGTACGCTTTTTTAACTCTATTATCTAGGTGGTCTCTCTCTAAGCGTGATGCCCAGATATTTAACTTCTTTTGACAATGCCAATGGAGTATTAGCAAGGGATGGCATTCTGGGCTTGCCAACCTTCCTCATCCGTGTGAAAAGAATTAACTCTGTCTTCTTAGGATTCACAGAGAGTCTTTGTTCGTCACACCAGGTTTCTATTAATTTAAGAGCTACTTACATCCTATCAAACAGCACGTTTATATACTTGCCTTTGACAAGAATGGTTAAATCATCGGCGTAACCAACTGTGATAAAGTTGGCTTCAGCGAGGCGGTTCAAGAGGCTATCCAGGGTGAGGTTCCACAAAAGTGGGGATAGTACACCTCCTTGTGGACAGCCTCGAGTAACTCCTCCTTGAAGACTGACATCGCCAGCCCTAAGCTTAACTATCCTATGTTTAAGAGTGTTCTCAATCCAACCACAAAGAGTCGGTGGAACATTATGCTCTAACAAGGCTTCGTTAATACCAGAGAAAGTTGTTTTATCAAAAGCTCCCTCTATATCTATAAAAACACCCAGGGCGGACTCCTTTAGGTCCAGCGCTCCACCAATAAAGCTGGTCATTGAGTGAAGAGCTGTTAGTGTGGACTTGCCCTGAGTGTAGGCGTGTTGATTAGGATTTACTGGTTTAGTTGGAAGACAGAAATCTCTAATGTAGCGATCATACAGTCTTTCCAGAGTTTTCAAAAGAAAGGAGGAGAGACTGATTGGTCTAAACGATTTCGGTGTGAAATAATCAAGCTTACCCGGTTTTGGTATGAAGTTAACTGTGACCTCACGCCACCGACTGGGTATATAGCGCAGCGCCAGGCATGCCTGGAAGATTTCCACCAGGTGAGGTACTAAGTCCTCCAAACCCCATTGTAAAAGGGCAGGTGTAATACCGTCTGGTCCTGGTGTTTTGAACGGCGAGAAACTGTTGATGGCCCACCGTATTTTATCCTCCCTGTAGATCTCTTCGGCTGAAATCCAATCATCTGCAGTAGGTTCATGGTTGGTGTCCTGTTGTAAGTATAAGCAACTTCCGGAACCTGAAAAATGCACCTCCATTAATAGATGAAGACTCTCCAAAAGGTTGTCGGTATAAGAACCGTCAGCCTTTTTTAGTAAGCCAATTCGTCGTTCAGGGTCTGAAGCCAGAACCCGATTTAACCGAGAAACTTCGCTGCAGGAGGAAACTTCCTCACAAAATTTCCTCGACGTTTCTCGTTTCTTATGACGAACGCTTTTTTTGAACTCCGCTAATTTTCCTTTATAAAGTTTCCAGTCTAATTTTGAGTTTTTAGCTCTATTAAAGACTGTCCTTGCCTCCTTTTTGAGTTTGCCGAGCTCAGGGCACCACCAAATGGTAGCTCGCCCAGAGACGGCCTCTGATCGGAGGTGACAAGCCTTTTTATAAGCTTTAATTAAGGAGTTACTGATAATTTTTAGGTACTCCTCAACTTCAAAGCTTCCAGTTGGCTTACGCAACCCAATGTCGCTCAAACACCCAGTAAGCAAGGATCTGAACACGCCCACATCCGTCCTTCTGGGGTTACGCTTTAGGTTCTTTGCAATCTTTATGGTACCAAGATCGAAAGTGATCCATCTATGGTCGGACATTGAAACATTGTCGGAAACCGTCCAATTGTGGATCGAAGACGAGATACCCATCGAAGCGAGTGTGATGTCGACCTCTAGCGGTTATAAAGGTCGGCTCAGAGCCTCGATTAAGTATATCTAAATTACTGCTAAAACTGAATTCAAGAAGGGACTTACCTCTTCCATTATCATCAGCACTGCCCCAGGCAGTTGAGTGTGCATTAGAGTCACATCCGATGACATGATTCCAGTTACCTTTCCTCGCGTCCTCGGCCAGCCTTTCCAATCCTTGAGATGGAGGCTGGTCTTCATACGGGAGGTATACTGATGCCATCGTTACTTCCTTAACCTTTCGGTTAATGGTACATAGGTGGCGATAAAGGGTGGCAGTTGCTGCCCTACTATGATGTAGGTTGCACTACACCACCCTTAATTCGTCACCTACCTTGTATACTTCACCTTTTCCGTGCATTATGAAGAGGCGAGTTGATCAGCTGATGCTGTTCTGGGCGGAGGTGTATCCAGTATGGATTCATCCAACTCCTTGCTCGAAGCCGGGGTTTTGGGGGTCGGCGTCTAGGTTGATGAGGGTGTCCTCATCTTCCTGAGCGGTTGGAACATCAGCTGTTTCCATCCGCCTTGCCGTTTCTCCCTCCGCGGCTGCTCCATCACCTTGCTTCGGGGTCTTTTAATCTGCCGACGCGGGCCTTTAGGGTGTTGAAAAGGTAGCAGATTCTACCTTCATGGTTTTCAAGCCATTCAGCGTCCTTCTTCGCTGCTCCGAAGACAATGAGGGTCTGTCCTCACTTCGTAGCGGAAGAGGCACCAGTTGGCGACATCTAGGTGTCTATTTTGGGCCGCTAGTATCTGAAGTGTCTGTTCCCTGGTGTTCACATCCACATCAGTATCAGGAATCCAAATTTGGATTCTAGAGAGGGTAGGAAGATCAACTTCCCTGACAACGCTTAATACTACGCCCCCTAGGGGCGGTATCAGCGGTACTGCAGCCTTCAACCACGTTAAAGAGTGATCATCATTGCAGGCAACCTTTAAGATCTGGCCTGCATAGACCATCGATCTAAACGTTGGTATAGGCGTTTGTTGTTTAGGGTCGAGCTGAGTAATTACTTCAACCAAAGCGTTCGTCAGCTCGTATTTAACATGACCGGCCTCAGTCTCGCTGAGTTTACCCAGCTGATTTTGGCCGTTAATAATGGTGACCTTAAGGTGCGACATCAGCGCGTCCTTAAAGCCTTTTTTGGGGCCCTGTTGAGCCGGTTTATCCAAGGCGGATTCCTGCCTCTTCCTCTTCGATTCCCTCAGTGAGGGTTCGGTAGAGGTGGCGGATCGCTGCCTCTTGGGTTGCGCCCTCGCCTGTCCCTGCGTGCGGACATCTTTCCTACCACTTTGCAGTGGTTGGTTGGTCCTAGCTCCCCTAGGTGGCTTATGAGGGGCCCGGCTGTGGCCTGGTTTCAGGTTCTCAGAAGCGAGAGCCTTTCTTCTTTATTTCTGTTCTTTATTTCCATTATTAACTTCCAATTGCTCATACTCTACCTGCAGCTCGATTTTTTTCCCAGCAATACTTTTAACATTGCTTGTAGCTATCTTCCAATCACCTGTAAATCCTTTACCTAATTTTGCATTTTAATTTTGAAATTAATAGAATCGAAACTTAGTTTTGTACAACGCGAAATAGATTAGATACCTTACTAGATGTTGGTTTGGTTGCATAAACAAGTGGGATAGAATTCGATTTCGTAAAAGAAGTTTGTGAAAAGAAAATACTCGGTATGAAGAACACTGTATTCTTTAGAATACTTGAATCGCAACAATGATTAGGTAATCTGTTGTGACAATTCTTTTATCCATATTATCTTGCAGATTGATCAGGAGAAATGGGATTAATTTAATGTATATAGTAAAACTCGTAACAACATTAACAATTAAATTATATAATTCAAACTAATTAGCTAAATGAAATATGTGTGATTTTGTGATTTGTGATTTATCTTTAGCCGGTTTTAGCTGATTAGATCACCGCAAATATAAGCAAGGAAATAAATGTAACTTAGTCAGATATAAATTACATACAATAAATGTCAGATGTATATGAATTAGAAAAAAGTGTCGGACATTTGCGAGAAATGTCGCCATATAAGTGGTCGATGTAAACGCACCATTTCGCATTCTTGGACAACTGGTTACTACCTTGTTCACTATATTCCTTATCCATTTTGAATCTCACCAATCCCGTCTTGTTAAATAACTCGATCAATCGTTATATGGAAAATCCAAAATTAGAATAAAACTGGATCATTTTTTATTTTTTTTATCATAAGAAGGAAGCAAAGTAAAGTAACAACAGATAAAGAAATGTATAAGAAGTAAGGAACAGATATAATTTTAGAAGGAACAAAGGAAGAGATGGATATTAATGATAAATTAAAGAATTAAAAAAAGTTTTTTCAAAATGACATCCATCAATCTTCATCAATCTCGTTATATAAATTATCACTTTAGTTTAATATAACTAATTTATAAACAAAATAATTTTCTTCATCGTTTTTAATTTTTGAATTATGATTAATTTTAACAATAAAAACTTTTTTTCCTGTTTTTTAGGCTCATCCTGATGTTTTACGACAATTGGGTTATTTTCAAGAACGATTGGAAGTGTTAATTAATCAAGAATTTACGATTTATGAACGAAAAAGAATCAAATCGGACGAAATTAATTAAATTTTATTTAAAAAAAGTTTAAATAAATTAATTTAAGATAATCGTAAAAAAGATGAAGAAATTTGTTAAAAAATGCTCATTTTTTTCCATTTTCTCTTTATTTTTTCAATTGAAATAAATAGAAATGTTTATAAATGTAAATTAAATAATAAAATTAATTAAAAAATTTTATTTAAACATTCTATGTATTTATTTCTAATTTTTTTCGCCTCACATCCTTCAAGAAACGCTAAATTAAATAGATGTATTTTAAAAATTTATATAAAATGAATCGTTCAAGATCAGAACTTTAAATTTGGTTTACTAAAACCTTAAATATTCCTTTAGAACCTCAAAAAATTTCATTTCTTAAATCCTATCAGTATTGGAGAAAATAATTTTGTTCCTTCACCTCCTTTTCAAGAAACGTCAAATTAAAAAGATGAATTTTAATAATTTGTATAAAATGAATTGTTCAAACTCCGGGCAGGCCAGATATTTGAAAGTGTTTGGGAAAAATAAACTCCGGGCAAGCCAGATATTTATTATGGAACGGATTAACTCCGGGCAGGCCAGACGTTTAATCCAGGAAGGAAATGAGCATTACGAAGATATCAATAATACTGTTTATTAATTCAAAATTTGGGGTTTATATACAAATCTTAATGCTAACTTAACAATTAATAAGCGATTAAAAAACTAATTAATTTATTTCGCATAATTGCGCGCGGTGTGCGTTACGCAATTATGCGGTGCGAGCGATGCGTTTGGTCAGCGACGTTTGGTAATTTGTCTGCTGACCTTATTAAAGGAAGTAAAAAAAATTAAAAGAAAAATTGAATAAAATATTGTTTAATCGAGATTAAACATTCTGCCCGCCAAAAAAAAGAGAAAATTTATTACTTAGTGAGGTTATTGTCTTTTGTTATGTTAATTCACTACACTACACTTCCCTACACCGTATTACTGTTCGGAGTTCATTCTTTGGTGAATTTCCGCGTAGATTGGTTGTAGTTGAATTCCTCCGACTGCAGATGATTCCGAGTTGATCGGTTGCAGAGGAATCCCTTCTTCAATATTGGATGTCTCTTTTGGTTTTGGTTTTCTTTGACATTTCACCTTACACCATTGATACAATCCCCATGATATGNGGTTATCTCCTTAATTATTGATTAAATCAAAAAAAATTGTTGACAAAGTTTGTTTAGAATTGTTTCAGGAACAATTTTTGTTAACATAATTTTTTTCTAACTTGAAATTTTAATTTCCCACTGAACACTATGCTGTTCTTTTAATCCAGATTTTTTTTTCCACCCATCCAGAGTGGAGGGGGGAAATCGTATCGTTTTGTTACAAAAGTTCCGTGCCCTGGTCATTAATCATTATCACACTAATGACTACTGATACTACGCAAGGGACGAATGACTACAATAAGCGTTGTTTGAAACCTAAATAAAAGTGGGACAATATTTGAACATATTATTCTAACAGTTAATTGCTAAACTCATTTTTTATAGTTTGTCTACAGCATCAAAGAAATTATTTAAATATTCATTTACATTTTCTCCATTCTTCATTTTTGACAACGTTAATGTTTTATTTGTTTTAATTCTGTCGGGTCCATAGACCTATAATACTAATAAGTCTGATCGTGCTTTACTGTCCTTTATTTCTCATTTCCTAATTTTTTTGATCGAACTTTTTATTATATTTATATTGACAATTAATAATTAATAACATTCACTTGTTTTTGTTGTATAAACATCTCCTAAAGCATTGGAATTGCTTTATAGATAAAAGTAACAGTTCAACAAATCTTAACCGTTTTGAAGAAAAGATCTTTTTTGTGATGTCTAGTAAGTAATAGTGTTTAGTTAAGCAAATTTTAGAATCTACATTAGGATACTAAAACGGTGTAATGACGCGTTTAGTTTCTGTTTTAGGAGCGGAATCTTAATCTGCAAACGAAAAACGGTTTTTGTGATGCAAAACATCGCAATAAATTTTAAGGCAAAACCGGGTTAAGATCAACGGTAAACTTATCCGGTGTGGGTTTTTTCGTAGAATACAGCCGTTTTGTGAATTTAAACATGAAATGAAATCTGAGTACCCCTTATCGTTTAATCTTGCAATCTTACATCACCATCGTCCACGAAAAATGACAAAAAAATCCGAAGATGAACAGAATTTCCTCTTACTTTGAAAAATAAGCCGAGCGAAACTGATTATATATTCAAATCCTTTTGTCTTAGTTAAGATTTTTTTAACACCATTTCCCGTCTTTATTTAAAAAATTTTTTGTTGCCGAATTTTTTGTTGTTCCATCCGCTTTGGATCTATTTATAGGCTCTTATTTCAGAATCAATTACCACACGGGAGAGCAACGATTTTTACATGCTAATAGATTCTAATTTATTTTGTCTTTTACGCAGAATATTACAAAAAAAACATCTAATAAAAGTGAGGTGAAAATATTATTATTAAATTTAGAAAATTTAATACTATTAAAAACATGCTCCGATTCCCCCCATCAAAATTTCTATATTCGAAATTTTCTTGATATTGACGCATCTAAGAGCAAAAGTGAAAGAGAGCAATATTGTTAAGAATAAAATTTGCTACAATTTTTGTTCTAAACGCTATTTTATAACATGCTCCGATTCCCGAGTGTTACCATTGACGTGTAAAACAAAAAACCCATCAAATTTTCTATTTTCGAAATTTTCTTGATATTGACTCATCTAAGAGCAAAAGTAAAAGAGAGCAATATTGTTAAGAATAAAGTTTGCTACAATTTTTGTTCCAAACGTTTTTTTGTAACATGCTCCGATTCCCGGGTGTTACCATTGACGTGTAAAACATCAAATTCCATCAAATTTTCTATTTTCGAAATGTTCTTGATATTGACGCATCTAAGAGCAAAAGTGAAAGAGAGCAATATTGTTAAGAATAAAATTTGCTACAATTTTTGTTCNAGGAAGTTCTCCCATCATTTGTTCTGCTGTCTGAGCCTTGTATCTAATGCATTTTACGCATTTTTGGAGGATGTTTCGTACGTCACGTTTTCCATTTATGATCCAATATTTTCTTCTAATATAAGCTAACGTTGCTTGATTTCCTCCATGTAGAGTTGAAGCATGTGCATTTTGGATCAGCATTTGAGAAAATTGCGAATGGTAAGGAATAATTATTGGGTGCTTTTATTGTTTAATCGAGATTAAACATGAATCGTTCAAGATCGAAACTTCAAATTTGGCTTACACTAACATTAAAAGTTCCTTTCAGGTACCATTTAAGCTTGGTGTAAGGAAGCCAAATATCTACGACTAATCCTAGACAAAACCCTCTCATGGAATGGACATTTGCAGGGAGTTTTGCACAAAGCTAGACTATCCTTGTGGACTTATCGCAATCTTTGTGGAGAAAATTGGGGTCTTATCCCTGAAAGACTGTACTGGCTCTATGTGACTGTGGTTAGACCAATAATCACATACGAAGCAGCAACCTAGTATAGGAAAGTCCGACAGACTTCAGTTATCAGTAAACTTTCACGAATTCAACAAATAGCTGGATTGGCAATCTCTGGTGCGATAAGCACAACGCCAACTCTAGCAATAAACGTTCTGCTTGGCCTATCTCCTTTGCATTTCAGCACCTCAGAGATAAAGTGTATTAAGTCACAAAGTCGAAACTGTTAAGGAAAGAGATTTGAAAGTGGACTTAATGTTTGGACAAATACACATGGTGGAGATAACTCATTTCGCAAAAAATGTGACTTAACACACCTTACCTCTGAGGTGCTGATTTGCATATAGAGAACGTGGCTAGAACTATCATTTACAGATTTAAGCAATATGCTCAAAACTATTCCGATATGTCCCACCAATGGGCTGCGGAAGACATTATAAGCACTGATACTGTGAAAACGAAAATTCTCTGTTTCAGGCAGGTATTTGCATGGTCACAGTTGGATCAAAAACGCCGGAACGGGTTGGAGCAGGAGACAGACACCTAGGATTATTTGCTATTGACATGGGTGCTAACATCCTGCTTGAGAGAGGAGTGAAGAACATGACAGTACGATTTTTCTCAGATAGTCAAGCCGCTCTCCAGGCGCTGCCAATGACTGTAAGAAAACATTAAACACGAGTTGTGTTTGTTATAAACTCTGTTCAGTTTCTCTGATCTGGGTCCCAGGTCACTCTGGGGTTGCTGGCAATGAAGCGGCAGATGAGCTAGCACGAGAGCATTTGTGGGGCCAGAACCAGCAGTTGATGTTTCATTTGCGATGGCCAAACATAGTATTGGATTGTGGGCTATAGAGAGACTTCGCCTACTGTGGACCAGTTCTTCTGGAATAAGACATGCTAAGGTGTTTATTCACTCCGCCACTGTCAAACCCGGGAATATTTTAGAACTTGCTTGTAGCAGCATTAAAGGTGACGGGTAATATGCCGACTATGTGAGGAGGGCGAGGAGACGGTTGTGCATGTTTTATGCCACTGCCCTGTTGTGAATCGAATCAGATTATCGATTTTTGGGTCGCAATTTATCTTCCCAAAGGATCTTTTCACCGAGCTAGGTATTAATGTTCGTTAAGACCACTGGACTGCACGGTGAAATTTGATAACGGCATCTATCGGGGTACAATAAATCCTTAGGGTTGCGGTGCAAGGTTGGTTGGTCCGCTTTTTGGTTCTAACTTCTTTCTTAAGTTGTCTGGAAGTGCATGTAGGCGGTACTTCTAAATATTTTTAAGTGATGCAACGAAGCTGTTCTTCCCATCCATAGCTTGAATAGTGTTACATTCTTTTGTTTGTTGTAGGGTTCAAAATACACAGCTGTATTCACAGCTTTTGCCCACAGGTAAGTCGGCAAATCTTTTGTATATATCATAGAACGAGCACTTTCTACTATTGTTCTATGTTCCTTCCGCTTTACCATTTTGTTCATGACAATAAGGTGAACATGTTTCAAACTCTATTCCCTTTTTCTTTAAGAAATCTTGAAACTGTTCGTTTGTATACTCTTTGCCGTTGTCAGCACGAACAGTTTTG